AGCAGAACGCTTTGTCGACACGTTCAAGAGAATGCTTCTGAAAAGAAGTTCAAGTCCAGAAAGAGAACGCATTGCTAACTTTTTGTTTCATTATTGTAATACAATACATCCGACGACCAATGACTCCCCAGCCATGTTACTTCAAGGCCGTAAACTTCGCTCAACGATGGATTTGTTACTTCCCCAATTCCACTCAGATCGCAGCCAGGAAATGGCAGATTCAAAAAACAGCAAAATGAAGTTTCAGTTTAACCGACATTATAGAGCCGTCAATAGGCAATTTCGTGTTGGTGACTCAGTACACATTCGAACTTATAATGGCCAACGGAATTGGGAACAAGCTACCATTTTTGGTAGGAAGGCGAAGGTATTACATATGATTTTTATTCTAGAACTGCAATTGCAAGTAGTACGATACGCTAATCAGTTAAAACATCGCATTGATACAAACAGTGAAGAGTGCACTGAAACACGGAAGCAAACTGTAGTAAATAAGTCAGTTAAGTTGTCGTCGAATAAACACCGTCGTTTTGGAAGTACAGCTTATAGATATGAAATCCCTGAGCGGCAACCTAGTTCTGAAGTTCCACTTCGCCGGTCGATTAGGAATACGAAGCCACCTATGAGACTCCAAATTGGTCCTCAAGCACGATCTTATAGGTCTTTCCAGTTTAGCGATTTCTGATAGTTAATACTCGTGTTAATAAGAATTTCGTATTGTGATAAAAGTTACATACAGCTTAGTTAAGTGCCTCGTCGAATCAGTGAGATCACTTATCCAAACAATGGGTACCCGCACTATTGAGTGGATCAGGGTCTACGATTTGAAAATGCACTCACTAATGCTTGTTTTTCCTTAATACTTATTTCCTCCGCGAGGGAGGTGTTGTATTGTGTAGTTATATTACTCTGTCTATAGTACTCCGGGGGTTCTCTAGATCAGATGCTGTAGGTCATTGTTCTCTCTTCGTCATGTTGTCTTTATATTAATCATTTTTTGTCTAATAAACAGTCAGTAGCTAAGTGGACGACACAACATTAGTAAGACTCGGGGCAGTTGGCAAAATCCTCTACGAGAGAGACACTGGTCTTACTCTAGCATTCAAATAAAAAAGGTACTATAAAAGTACCTCTCTTTGATACTTATATGGAACTGTCATTTTGGGAAGAAGCTTTATCAGTTGTGCGAAATGAAAAAAAAAGAAGGATGAATGATAATGGTAAAAAAGTAAAGAGTTTGATAGAGAGAGGACGAGACATAAAGACAGTGCATTTCACACTTTTCATCAAAAAGTTTTCTTGCTATTTTGAATCAAGACTGAGTTTAAAATACCAAAAATTTCATAAAGCTGCAGTGAGTTTTTTTTTTGATATTGTAGTAGAATTAGAGCCGCTTTAAGTTGTAAAAATTAAGAAATCAGTTTTTTTAGTAAGAAATCAATTTTTTTGCACATCTACTTCCAATCATTATTAAAATTTGCGCTGACACGACATCTATAGGCGGATTCAATCCTGATTTAGTTTGAGCAGGAAAAAAATTTTGGCTGGAACAATTCCAGCGGAATTGGCAGTGTGCCACTATGTTACATGCAGGCACCTTAAAGATACTCGAGAGACTCCGGAGAAAGAAGCTTAATTTCTTTGTCAATTGTGCATATCAGTTGTCATTAGTGTCATTTTGTTCGCAATAGTCTAGTCTTCTAGTCTGTTTACATTCCGAATTTCTCCTTTTTTGGTTCTCTTTCTGCGGAGATATTAGCAGAAATGTGACAGGATTTTTGTGTTTGACAGGTATTTTTTAACTTACTTACTGTTATAACTTGTGTTTATGCCCCGGAACATATGTTTTCTTCCTTTTTTTCGTAATCTACTAGATGAGGAGATAAAAATTATGTAAAAAAAAGTAAGGCTATAGAACTGGCAAATGAGAAAGAAAGGTTTGAAACTAATAATTGGAAGACTGAATTCTATTAAGTAAAAAAAAAAATTTGGAAAAATTAAATTACTGGTATAAAAATAGTAGTTGGAGTGGAAAGAAATAGGTGAAGGAAAAAAAATAAGCAAACAGTCATTAAGACAGCTTTAGATTCACTGCGAGTAATATTAATTTTAAGTATAGTAGAGTAAGAATTAGTTAAAGTGGGGAAAAAAACGGGGTAAGCGGACTGGAACATCTGGAAAAAATGGTTTCAAAAAAACGGCTTTGAAGAGATTGTGAAAAAATTAAAATACTGGTATAAAAATAATAATAATTGCTACAGAAGTAGGGGTAAAATAAGGAAACAGTCACTGGGATAGTTCT